GAGCCAGAAGACTGAGAAACTTTTAGTATAATCTGGGAAACATGAGCCAAAACATAACTGTATATAGAGATAGAGCAGAAAGTGCCCAAGAGACAGTGAAAGGCACAGATAAAGAATACCAGGTAAAAAGGGGGTCACCTAATAGCAGAACGGCATGACACACTGTAGTAGAACAAAAGCGGGCAGAGAGATGACAAGACAACCTTACCTTAGCAGAATCTGACTTCTTGTTGAGTAAACTTTTGCATGCTGTAAAAGAAGACAATAGAAAGGGAGAGAAATGGGTACAAAACTGAGTTTTACTGCATCCATGCCAATCCACCCAGATCTCCTTAGAAACCCACAACTTCAGCAACAACCACAGATCTACAATTTGTTATACCTATGAAACCCCAGTACCCCTGGGACAAAGTAAGCCTAGATGTTGCCAGGGAATAACATGCATTTAATGGATTTCATGGGTACTTTCCCTTGGCTGTACAGGTTGCTACTACACTCTGCTAAACCCATTCACATCATAATCCATTCACTGCCATCTGGGGATAAAGTGAAACCTGAGAGCAAAGTAAACTTCCTGAATCCATTTCCTGTCTGGAAGACCCCAGCAGATCTAAAAAGACAGTGATGGTCAGACAAACTGCTGCCAGGGCTGACGGCAATGTGTTAGGTTAATGTAAATCATTGATTGCCTTTAAAGGGCCCCGTTCAGTTTTCCCTTTCAGTCTAAAGCTCTCAAATATCTTGGCTTTCTTTTCTCTGGTTTCCTACTCAAACACACAGGTTCCAAAAATCTTATCTTGTGTTTCTTACCTTCAAATGGGAAGGAAAGAGGGGGAGAGAGGGCAGGGTTGAAAAAGAGGGCTTAGTATTTCAATACAAGAGAGCGGAGATAAGGGGCACAGCATTTACAGCAGCAAACAATATCAAGTCAACTCATGCTCCTTAATCTTGGCTGTTGTGTCAATACACAGCTTCTAATCTTAGTCTGGCCATGCAGCATCCAAAGGAAGAAACAAACAAAAAAAAAAAAATGTTTTCATTCCACAACCAGGGAAAGGACTGTTCAGAGCGCAAATTGTCTGCTCTTCTATCGACTGCATCTTCTGCCAAACAAAAAGCCATCAGGATGCTAAATGTGACAGCATGGGATTACCACATTCATATGCTCTCTAAATATGACCTCCCCTCCTCCATTTAAAAGAGTGATCAGTGTCACATGAGAGAATGGGTACAGTCAGGATGACCCACATTAGGAGGGCTGCACCACTATACCCGCTTGATGATGATAGGGGAGCATGTATAAGAAAGCAACTGAAGGTGCATCTCCCTTGAATAGGATATAACCACACAGGACACCCACATGCGAAAGGCAGCAAGGCAAACATCTTTCCAGAAACATACAGAAATGCTTCAAAAGCACACTTCTATCACATTTTGCTACAGTGTCATTAAAAGGGAACATCATGAGCAAACTGCAAACCTCACCTCAGCCATACTCTACAGAGATGTGCAAGGAAGCAGGTACAGCAAAACGTGCTAGGATTGTGCATCAGAGTACCAAAAGCCAAAAAATATATACATGGCTGGACAATTAAGAAGTCGAAGAGCTGAGGAGTCCGGTCTAGAGTGATGATGTCACACTTGATCGTCAAAAACTTACAAACAGGCAACTTGGTCCAGTCTCAGTGAGGAAGCCCGGATTCAGAGGGCGCTGGTAAACAGTCAAGCCACCACAAACACCCCGAAGCTCAGCGCACCAATCAAACATTCCACGATTAACACCTGCCTAACCAAAGGTTTCACCACTAAGGTCATCTCCCCTTCCACATCTTCCACCTTTTTCCTGCCTACATAAAGATCTTAGTTAACTATGGAGGGATTTATGTGCACTGCAGAGCAAAGAAGATTCTTCCATTTGAAAAGATAACAGAGAACCCAGTCTGCTCTACACTGTCTGTAATTTACTGAATCCATGGAGCCACCATTGGAATCACCGACCTTCACCACCCAAACCCAACCAGCAGAATGACAGCAGAGACTGATTTTAGTACTTAAAAAAAAAAAAAAAAAAAAAAAAAATCATATTCCTCTTTTAACTGAACACTATTCCTCTGTTAACTGATCAAATGCATCACCAGGTTTTCAAGAAACGTGGTGGATGATTTGCTGCCAAGTTATTTCCTTTGAGGAGGCATAGAATCTTTTTCGAAGTACTAAAACAGACCTCAGGAGAGGGAGAGGAGACGAGATGCTTTTAACCTCAAAGGATTCCTCAGGAAGACTGCACAGTGGTGACAGTTTCAACAGTTGGCTTTGGTAGCAGCACCTCCATCCTGTCTCAGTAAAACCTCTCCCCCAGCTGTTCAACATCCAACCCCCCCACCCAAGACCCAGGTCTGATGATGGCAGCACGCCAACCCAGCTCTTGCCGGCCCCCTGCAGTGTTAGTTCCCGCCCCTAAGATACATGCCCCTCCTCATCCCCTGCCCCAGTCTGCCCTGTGCCCATCCTCAACACCTTGGCTGGGGAGAGCACAGAGGTGTACAGGGTCAGCTAGAAGTCAGGATGAGCTTACCAGAAGTGACGACATAATTAATTTGGGAGATGAAATGAGGATTACAAGGTTGAGACTGAGTGATGGTGAGGTGTAAATGTGAAAAGCACTTTGGAGTGCAGATTGAACTAAATCGATTACAATTAAGTGATGCTGATGTACATGACTATGTGCACAACATCTGATGTCTTTGTACTGTAGCAAAGACACACATTCCTCATAACCTAAATGAACAAAATTAGTGAGTATGCATGCATATGTGTGTGAATTCTGATGAGGATGCAGGCAGAGGCTGCATGCAAGAGTTTGGGGGTGGTGATGAAGGCCCACTCTGTGTTATGAACCAAAGTAGCAGCTCGTGTGTAGAGAGGAAGTGGATGGGCGTGTCTCTGGGACGTACCTTCCTGAGCCAGTGAGGCCGTGGAGGAGGCGGCAGCAGCAGAGTTGGTATGCTGCCGGCCCACTATTGGACAGAAATGCTACAGTTGGGAAGGGCTGTGCAAATTAGGCAGGTCTATCTCGCGCTGTTCAGTCATGGGCCTAGGAAGCTACAGGGTGTGCTGGCTACAGCCCAAATACATCACATGGTTTGACAGAAATGGGCAACAGCAAAGACGTGCACCCCTGTGGTTTCCTAGGCCCAGGGTTGAAATGATTAGCCATCAACTGACCAATTACTTAGAGACTAAGAACAAGGCTTCAAGGAAAACAAGTCACTCTCAGCAGACTGAGATAAAAACACAATCTTGGCAGTTTCCTGTTTTTGTAATGCCACACTTGCCCTCAACATACAAATCTCAAAATTCTTCACTCTCCGAAACATGCAAATGCTCCACAGGCAGCAGAAAAGAGGGACACACACACACACACACACACATACACACACACACACACAGGGAGAAAGATATTAGAATGGATAAAACTGGCGGCCATATATAATCTGGTACATGATGAAAGATCACATCTTAGCAGTGTTGGGGAAGCTACATAGCTTTGGAAGCTAGCATTTACTTCATGCTAGAAAAAGTTTGAAGTACTCTGGTGAGAAATCTAGTTTGGCTAACTAAAGATGCTTAAATAAGTAGCTCAAGCTACTTTGTAAATTATTAAACTGACCATGTACATGAGATACAAAAGTCTAACATATAACAAAAAGTCACATGGCAGCAAAAAATGCCACTTAATTAATATTACCTGAGACCTAAACAAAATGATTCCATCTGGGCTTTTCACAAGGACAAAACAGCAAGGAATGTTCTAAACAAATCTAGATTTTGTCTTATCTGACTGCAATTAAAGGCACTTTTGGACTGGAGGAACAATTGGAAAAAGTACCCCCCTTTTTGTGTGTGCCCACACCACAGGAGTTCAGAACAATAATAGTTCTTAGAACATCATTTTGGGGGAACGTTTTTAGCTCTCCTTCAGGGTGGGTACTCTCCAAGCACAATAGGAACTATGAGTTGCATGTACTTTAACTGCAGCAGCACTGTCATTTTTTAAAAAACTCTGTTAGCTGTGTAACAACAGCGATCAATAACCATCACTAGCGGTATGGGAGCTGCAGTCTGCCAACAGAAGCCTCTGGGTAGATGGCTCATTATATCACATTAGCAACATATAAAGAAAACACTTACTGGTAATGTCACTAGCCTATGTGTCAACTGTGAGAGCTGGCTGGTTAATCTCTTAACAGTCAGTTGTCTTATTAGTGTTACGTTACTTCAGCATTCCTACTGGCGGTGCAAATGCAAACAAAAAAAAAAAAAAAAGAAAGAAAAAGATCAAAGGTGTGTAGATCTTGGGGAGGCTCCTCAGTGGGGTAGTCCCTAGACCTGTTTGGTCCAAAAGAACGTTAAAACAGTAAAGAAAAAAATATTAAACCTGCACCATTTTAGACGTCTGACCAACTTGGGTGCTGGTCTATAAAAATGGGCCTGTCTTCTCAGTTTTGTAACATCTGACTTGTACAATATTAACAACTAAAATATTCTTCAACTCACCTTTTTAGACAGTATGAACAGCTTGAACACTGGGCCTATCTTTTTACTTAGAGCAGAACCCTTCCTTTGTATGACATGAGTCGCTTCTCAAAGTTCTTATCCAACAGGTGGTTCTGTTTGGCGCTGAAAATGTTCTTGTCAACCCTGAAAAGCTGCTCACATGCAGCACTGCAAAATGTCTTTTCCATTTCTTTTTTTTACAGACCAAAATTGTTTGTAGTTTCAGTAATTACACAAAGAATGGCAAAAAAGTAACGACTATGTAAATATGACTGTAGTTGAACTAGTAGTTCATTACTCCCCAACACTGCATTTTAGCCTGTTCACATACATCAGGATGCAATGCACTCACAAAAAAGCAGCATAATCAATACATTTCTTCTACCATGACTCGAAGGAACTTCATGTTTCAAATCAGTTTTAATGTTGTAAGCAAGCAAAATCCTGTGCGCACACAAAAACAGTTATTTTGAGGATGAGTGGGTGAGCGTGTGTGTGTGTGTGTATGTGGTGAGGGGGTTAAAAGAGGTGCAGAGGACTCTATCCACTCTCCTTCCTCCTCTCCCTCTGCATGTGCTGCGTGGGAGGCTGAGGGCGAAGAGCACACCCACCTGAGAAGTTTCTGGACACCAGCATGGTGGTGAGAATGGCTCCCTGGAGGAGAAGAGAGAAGTGAAGGAGGTATAATAAGTGCAGAGATTTTCATTTTATTAAACAGGATTTCAGTTTTTATCCTGGACTCACTGTTCTACATTTATTTCTAATGAGACAGCAACATGTTTGTCTTGCTGCGTTCATCACAGCAGCTAATTCCAGTCAAGGCTGAGTGTTTACTTGTCCTCTGTCAAACAGTCCAATTATGTTTTTATAAAAACTGTATACATAGTATTACTGAGACACACCCTTAACTGTATGTCTTCACGTCTCCAAGTCCCACATCAGTCTTTATGCAAATTAATTTAAATGTTGCGACAAAACATTACAGAGCCTACTTGATCCATGAGTTTGCATGTAGGGCTGTGAATGCAAACTACAGCGACTAGAGCTGGGTATTGCTTGAAATGTTGCAAAACTGCTGAGAGTACACTGCCATGTATTTTCTCTTGATATCTTATTTAGACAAATATAAATGAATACAACTCCTTTTACCATTTAACAAAAGAAGTAGAGCTTCCCCAAACATTTGTCTCAACACAAACATCCATTTAAAAACTTAAAATATGAAGCTTTATCCCAGTAATTGTGCTGAACTATATTTACATATACAGTAAGAGATCACAGCAACTAGTTTAATATATGGTGACAAAGTATGAAGCTCATGTTAGACATAAATAGGTCAATTGCAAATGTCACTGTAAATCTGTACACGTTTTTGTTTAGTGTAATCACAAGAGATTTACAGAAAGTAGTGGATAAATAGGAAGCAAATTTCTATAAGACAAAAGAAAGTTAAGATCATTTGTGCAAGAGTGAGAGGAAGCAGAAAACAGCTGGGGGGCGCTCATGAAACAAAATGGTAGCAAATAAAAATTTAGGATGAGTACCTTTAGTTTTCGGCGAGCATTGAACTTGCGGAGACACTCGACAGTTTCCTGTCTGTGCATCATTGATGCCACTGTAGAACGGTGCTGTGGGAAAGCAGAACAAGAATTAAACACCAACTCTGTGTGAATCACTTTTATAGGTAGTGTTGTGTGAGCATGTGCCATTATGCTCAGATTGCACCTGTCAGTTGTACCTTGTATAATTTCAATAATTCTCAGAGTTAGTTAGGTGAGTGAGTGAATACTTACACAGACCCATGGGTGTTTTAGGGCCTGTTCAGCAGTAATTCTCTTGGCTGGGTTGATGGTCAACATCTGGTTGATCAGGTTCTTTGCCTCTGGAGTCACTGTGTCCCACTCTGGGGATGGGAACTGAGGAATATGAAGACACAGGTAATTGTGACATGTGACAACCGGAAAGGATATTAGGACTGTTGGAAGCCATACATACATACATACTGTATTTCTGGTTAATCCACACCATCAGGGTGGTTAATTTGTCAAAATTAGACTGATATGAGAATGCAACTGCTAATGTTCTTTTTGGATTATTAGGGCACATGCTTCTGGTGCGGGTCTTTGAACCACTTTTATTAAGGGTAAATTCCCAAAAAAACAGGCTGCCTGAGACTTGTCCAGTCTCTCAGAAAACTGCAATGTGACTTGATTACCCAGAGACTGAGAAAGGAGGATACCCCTTCTCCAGTTTTCTCTCTCTTACACACACACACACACACACACACACACACACACACACACACACACACCCCTCTGCAATGCGTCAGAGAGCCCCTGATAGGATCAATAGCGTTGAAACAGCTCTAAACTGGACATCATTAAACATTCAAAAACTGCTTAGCAAACCCCTGCACTGCACTGCACCCTTCACAAATATACACCAAACACATGCACACATAAAGCACACTTACATCATACGCTCCAGCTTTGATCTGCTGATAGAGTTTGTGCTGATCTTCATCCCAGAATGGAGGATATCCCACTAACAAGATATAGAGAATAACACCTGACAGAAAATAAAGTGAGGGAAAAAAAAACAACAGATGTTACAATGCATACATTATTTAAATTAGGCAAGATAATTTATAAAGCACATTTCATTACAAGCAAACTCAATGTGCACACAGCAACAGGTAACATTCAGAAGAAAATACACTAAATTAAAAAAGAAAATGCAACAATAGCAAAAGAAAGTGTTTTATTGCAACTTTGAAAAGCCTGGTTATTCCAACAATTTCTGAGCAAGATGATGTTGTTGCTACTCTGCAAGGTTGAAGTGTTCTCTACTAATTACCCTGCCTCAGTTTTACTATCCCATAATCTATTCTGAAAATAGTTTCATCATCAAAAATACTTTGCAAGGCTGTTGCGCGTGTTAAGACAAGCATAGCCAGTCTGGCATTTGTTTCCCGCCGCCGCAAAGTAACAACCCGACTGCAACAGATTAACTGGCCAAAGATGAGGCTCAGGACTCACCACAAGCCCAAATGTCCACAGACTTGCCATAGGGATCCTTCCTCAGGACTTCAGGTGAGAGATATCCAGGGGTGCCAGCAAACCCTGCCCAAAAGTACAACCAAAGGACAGAATCAACTCAGGGCCTATTTATTCAAATTCAGATGTAGGTTATTTCTGTGTGGTTACCTGAATGGTTCAGATGATAGTGACCTGCTCGACCTCAATGCAAAACCAGATTATGACAGCGAACGGTCACAGGCAAATGGCCATTAATCATCTCAGCCAAAATGACTGCTCAGCTGTTAGTCAAGAGACAGTGACCTAACGATGACCTGGAACACGTCCACGAGCCTCTTAAGCAATGTTCCTGCAAATATTTTTTGGCTTCCAAATGGGCGGATGGATGTGTGTCTATACAGATCTACTGTAGGACAGAGGACTTTTTTTGGAAAAAGAGCAACAGATATTTCCCCAAAGGCATTCTGTGTCATGTAGCCAATAGTTTTTATGATTTGAAGGGGAAGACCAGTTGGCCTTTAATTTCATACATTTTTGGAGGCCACATTTTTCACTGGCCGCTAACACCCACAGACAAATCATTGTTTTATTTATATATATCCTGAGCAGTACCATTACGAAACTATACAACATACAGGTTTGAATTAACATGCAGATGCTTGTAAACTGTATAGGGGAAATATGCAGAGAAATTTCCTGCCACTGGTAATAGGATTACCTGTGCACCTTGCTATAAGTTGAATAGTACATGGCATTATCTGTGCACATTTAGACTCCACGGCATACTAACCTCCTAATATGTGACCCAGCTGTCAGCCTGCTGATGTTGCTTACGATTAAGAGGAATCATGGATGTATTTATAATGTACTTCAGCTTTCTCTTCACTACTCTAACAAGTGCAATAATTTCATTCTTCTCACATCATGAGCAAAATAACCAGCACACTTTTGGCAGTGAAAATTTAAAATAAATCCTATCACGGCTGCCTATTAGGTTTTTTAAAACTAATAATAAAGGTGACTTTTACAGAAGTTCTCTCATTTTACAGTGCAACTTCTACATGTACATACACTGCACATTAAATGACTTGTTAATCAGCTATATATCAACAGGTGTATACACACAATAGTAATTTGGTAGCTAATGCAACTAGCATATGCAATATTTCTGACAGCATAGAAAACAGTAACTTTCAACACTAGAGTTAACATTTTACAGCCTCTAAATTTTCTGACAACTTATACAGATACTCATATTCAGATCCTTTATTTAAATAAAAGTAGCAATACAACAATGTAAGACTACTCTGTTACAAGTAAAAGTCCTGCATTCAAAATGTTACTCAAGTATAAAATTATTTGCATCGGAACATACTTAAGGTACTAAAAGTACTCATTATGCAAAATGGCACATTTCAAATTCCTGTACATCACATTATTGTATGATAATTATTGGTGCATTATTGTGTACCTCACATTTAATGTTGCAGCTGGTAAAGGAGAAGCTAGTTTTAACTAACTTATATGCGTTTAGTTTGAACTACTACCGCCTGTGAATTTCCCATCAGAAACCAATGAGTTCTTATGATTATACTGTATTTTTGTATTAATCCGGCTATGAAAATTAACTAGTAACTGAAGTTATAAAACAAATGTAGTGGAGTAACAAGTACAATATTCACTTCTAAAATGTAGTGAAGTTTGAAATAAAATGAAAATGCTCAAGTACAGATACCTCAAAATTGTACTTAAGTACATTATTTGAGTAAATGTACCTAGTTACTTTCCACCACTGGCTGTATAGAGGGCTTCTGTAAGAGCAACAATGGCCATGACTGTATGGGTGTTGTGAAATTTATACCCTGGTGTCAGGTGAGAAGCTACATGTGGTTTCCACTTTTAAATAACTTATTTTAGACTCAACTCTCTGCTCCAAAAATAAATAAATAAAATAAAAATTAATCTTATTGTTGCAAAAACTAAAATAAGCCTAAGTATTGCCATTAGCCACTTAAACACAATATTATTGTTTTAATGGCTGGTTTAACACTGGGTCAAGGGTCTACATATAGAATTGAGCCTTTTGGCCAACACTGGCATATTTACAGTGAAGTTGCTTAATGTGCATTGTCCCTGAAACAGTATAAATATTCAGCAGTAACTCATAATCATACGTGCAGAAAATATCCAGCGCTCAACAACCAGATAGAATAACAGATCAAGTAATGTTCTAGTACATTAGTGTGTGTCACTGTTTGTGTTTTCTTACCAAACCAAGCCTGCTGTTCTCCCTGCACTTCAATAGCAAGGCCAAAGTCTGCCAGCTTCACTGCAGCTCCCTTCATCTTACTGGCCAACAACAGGTTCTCAGGCTGAGAGAGAGGGAGACGTACACACACATGGTGTAGCAGAATGTAGGACAAGAGATCAAGACAGTGAGAGATGGTGACAGGCATTCTTCAGTAAAGCTCCTTCTTAGAAATATTTATATTTGATGTATTCGACACAGCTTGTGTGGGGGTGGGGGAAAGGTGTTAGAAAGCAATGGAGAGACGGAGGAGGTAGGGAGAGGATGGGTGGTAGAGAATCTCCACAATGCCTTATATGGGCATGGGTTCGTAGCCATAGAAACCACTCAGGAGTCATTTAGGCAGCACTGCAGACTGCATGCTAAATGGAAAGTGTACTCCGCAAGAGGCAGCATGTGTGGCAGCGTTCTAAATGGCTGCTGTTTGGGCAGTAGAACATAAAGGGCTGCAGTAAAAGCCCACTCAGGATAAAAGGCCAACAAATCAGACAGGGACCGCTCAAAGCAACAGCGTTATTCTCTGACACAGAACACGCACACTCACATACAAAAGCCACCCACACGTCCCTTGAGATAGTTTTTTTCTGCATGTTGTGGTTTCTACTTGAAAAGGTACAGTTCACTACAAACGATCACTGTCCTTCCTAGCAGGATTATCAGCGTCACCTGGGTAAAGTAGAAAACAGCTCTCTTCTACTCTTTGCATTTGAGTCCCTATCTGTCCCTCCCCCGCTGCTCCATGGGTGGTGGGATGTCACATGGGTTGTCGTGGTGACTTGTGAGGTTCATCTACGCCTTTACGTCCTCTCTTATCATAGACTCCCTTCACAACAGTACAAAGTGTGTATGTTTGTTTATGCGCATATGCGTGTTCTCTTCCTTGCCATAAGTGAGGGACAGCCCCCTTGCACGTGATCATGACTCACTGTCTCCATGCTCAACATGACACACATGCATACGTGTTTATATGCACCCAGAGACACACAGAGTTGTGGTCAAGGACAAACAAGCCGACAGATGTGAGTACACAAGAGGGTAAAAATGGTAGATAGAGAGCCGCGGGAGAAAAACAACAGGGATGGAAGCAGAGATGCAGAGAGGAAAAAAAGAGATGGAGCAACGGAGAGCCATCTCTGTGTTGCCATGGCCACGAGCAGAGGTGTGTGCGAGTGTGTGGTTGTCACGGCAACAGGCAGCCACTCACCTTGAGGTCTCTGTGCACAATATCATGCTGGTGGATATGATTGACACTCTCTAAGATCTGACTAATGCAGTGGCTATGGACAGAGAAAGGGGCACAGACAGACAGACATGTCAGTTGCTGATTGACATTACATATATACCTCAAATGATTTGTTTTACTGAAGCTTGCTTGGATTATGATTGGGCTAAAAACAGCTGCATTTCATTCAAACATCATTAGCCTTGATCGCTATAAGACTGGCACCTCGAATTTAGAATTACTGTACTTTTGAAAAGGAGTATTATAAGGAGGGGTTTATTAAATGCATTTTATACATTTTGAGACTAAAATCTGAACTTCAGATGACTTCTCTATGAAAAAAAAACTGACCTTTCAAATGTCGAACTGAAACAGAAACTGAACTGACAACTATTCTGATAATTGGTCAATCAATTAATTCAATTTTCCAAGAGAATGAATCCCAAATTGCACCATTTAGCAGCCTTGGACAATGACAATTTGCTGATTTCTATCCTACTTCATTGAAAATCAATATCTTTTGGATTTTGGTCACATGTTAGACATTTTATAGATGAAACAATTAACTGTGAAAATGATCACTGGACTAATTAATAATGAAAATAACTGTTAGTTGCAGCCTCAGTAGGACAAATCACTTCCATTAAACTAAGCCTGTGGATGTTGACATACATAAACATTTACTATAGAATCACTATTATTTTTCAAAGCCATTATCCAGGTACTGTAGTTCAAACAATCAATACTAAGAAACTTGTGTGGGAGGCCTTACACCACTCAGTCAATAAAACTCTATCCCAATAGCAATTTCAATAATGGGGGCGTCAATTCAGCTGCTACTAATTCCACTGCCATCATTTCTCAATTCTGGATGGCAAGCATGCTTTCACACTAGCTTGGCGAGTGTGCTGGCTCATGATACGTCTTGTAAAATTCTTCTACAAGACAGTACATGACTGCCTTATTACCATTATGTGCACTGTGGTGTCAGGCTCCACAATTCATGTCCATGTCATGTCTCTGGGAAGCTTAATGGGTCAATAGTTGGGAAAGGGTTAAACCATATGCGCTGGGTGTGTGTGCACGTTTCCAAAAGCACCCCATGTGTATGAAGCGCATACAATTGTAGAAGAGAATTCAACAGTTACACACACTATATAGCTAGAGAAAAAGGAGGGGAGCTCAAAAAAGATTAAGTAGAGAAAGCTTAAATGTCACAATGGCGACAAAATGTCAGAAAACGCAAAAAAATCACTTCACACAACTTCCCAGAAGCCAAGGTGACACCTTCAAATTGCTTGTTTGGTCCATTCAACATCTCGGATCTCTAAAGATCTTCAATTTACAATAACATAACACAGCAAATCACCAAATGAGAAGCTAGAAGCAACAAGTCTTAGGCATTTTTCACTGGTAAAATGACTAAGAATAAATGAATCATATACTTTTCAGTACATATTAAATGTAGAAGGAGAACATATAGTGACACGTGAATGTGAATTCATATATCTAATGAGATTATTCTGTATATTAGCAGCAGGCTATGTGTGCATGTATAGGTGAGGAGCAGCTCCATATGAGGCATATACCTAGCATCAGCCTCGCTGTAGTACTCTCTGGCTACGATGTCTTCAAAAAGTTCTCCTCCTGTTACCCTGGGAAGTGGGAGAGAAGGAAGGAAGACAGACAGATAGAGAGGCAACAGAGAAAAGCTGTTAGCATACACGCTCAAACCACAGTCACGCACATGGATAAAATGTCACTGTGTGTACAAAATATACTCACAGGTCAAAGACTAGGTAATGAAAGCCTTCCTCGGAAATGCTGTCATGGAGTCTCACTGCAAGACAGAGGGTGGGCAGTGAAAGATGTAAACAAACGTACAGGAATTGTTGTAGTGTTCAACTGTTAAATATGCCCATAAACTGAGGCTAAGAGAAAAAATAAAATTAAAAGCATTTTAAGAGAAAGATAGACCAGATCAGAGCTGGAGGAACAAGCTATGGCTGTGACATGTAGATTCTTCTCTCACCACAGACTGACCACACAGACTTCACATGGTCCGATTACTCAAAACTGATCGATAGGGTCAGAAATGCATTTTTGGGGTCCAATTACCATTGGTTTTTAAACTTGACAAGAACACCCCACAAATGGCATGTCGCTGCATCATGTTCATGATGCAGCATGAGTGATATTCCACAGGAGAGGAAAAGATATTTCAAATCCAGGTGACGTGTTGGAAGTTTGATGTTTATCACAACATTAAAATCAACTTATGGCTATTTTTTTCCCCACAGTAATACCTGCAACATTTCACGCTTCTATGCCATTGAAAAATGTTAATATAGATTACTTCTGGGGGCATTTTTGGTTTTACTTGATGACGATTAGGTGACGATGTGGAGATTGACATGGAGAGAGAGAGAGAGAGAGAGGAGATATGACAGGAAATAAAGATTTATAGCTACAAATGAATGAATCAGGTGGAGGTTATATAGTAAGTGCCTTAGACTTCTAGCATGAGCCCTTATACAGGGATTTCGCCCTAACTAATCACAAACTTTATATATGTATGGTTGACACAGAGTACATGCAAAGTCTCTTATGTGATTGTTCATACATCCTCAGTCCACCGTAACAGCCTCAGGGTCAACAGATGACCAAGGAGCCATGACCGAGAATACATGAGACCATCCTTTGTGGAAGTCTTATGAGCCGACACACCCCTTTATCAGAACTCGGTTGTTGACCGAACGCTTCAGATGAAGTATAGGAGGAAAGGATGTCCCCATTTATCAATGTGTTCTTAGCACATTTTCCTTGCACTTTTTCCCCCAACCATCTTACATGGACAGGACTAAGACACAAGGAAAAGATATCAGTGAGGGGCACAGCAGTGCTTATAACGCTCTGTTCAAGCCAGTTTAAGCCAGATAACAGCCCGACATGGCAGTCGCAGGGCGTCAGAACCGACAAATGGCGCCAGACATGACAATTGATCATTTTTTTCCGGTATAGTCTGCCATAGTAAATGACAATCAATGCTGTGTGTGGGATGCCTCATGATGTCCCAATACTGTCTGGCATGTCAGAATTTCTTTTCGCCATCTATGATGAATTAGGCTGGCCCTGACCAACAGGAGCACAGATCGCTCTTCTGTTTACACACTTCTGGCATATTGGGTTAACTATCACAGTGATACAGCTAGTGTTAGCATACTGACTTTCACAGTCAGCCTTGTGAAATAGCTACTCTATCAGGACTAGCTAGCTTGTTTTCAGTTTTACTACCAGCTGAAAACAAAAACCCACTTATTTTTAACTGCTATTTCAAGTTATCTGTGAAGGAGAGACAACACAGGCTGGTGCCCTGCCCTGCTTTTCTGAGACAAGCAGCCAGTATCACACCCTCTTGTCCTGGTCCCTGGCACCTCCAATGACGGCAGGCAGTGATCTGTCAGGTACCAGTGCGTTGTCTGTCATTTCCCTTGTCCAAGAATTTGTGACTCTAAAATCATTTAATCTGACACAGTGACTATTGTATCAGACTAAAAAAAAAAAAAAAAACATGTAGTCTGAACCAGGCATAAAAGACCTGAAGGGTATCCATACCTGAATTTTCAGTCTTTGCCTTGTTAATTAAATAACATTACTTTTGCAAGGTGTCTTCGAACCAATTTGCTTTGCTGCATTTTTGCAGCAGTTGTTCTGTCACTATTTTTCTGACTGTGGAACAGCACAACTTAATCCCACATAGAAAGCTCTGCTTGACTACTAGGAAAACAGCCGTCAAAGAGCACAACTTAGGTGAATCACAGAAAAAAAAAATTATGGCAGGCGTGGGTGGAGACCGTCTGAAGCAAGTCTATGAAATGTTTTAAGTTTACAGAACCCCCCCTCCCCAAAAAAACCCCAGTAATGCTTGATACCAGTAATGTTTCCTGATGGAGACAAGTGAGTGCTTGGTCAAGGGCAAAAAAAATAAAGTGGTGATTGCAGTAATGAGCTCATATTACCATGATACTGCGGTTCCACAGTAACTATCTCAGTCCTACTGTCAAAGCTAAACAGCAGCAGAATGACAAGGCAGGATCCGGGCAGCAGGAACAAAGTGTCATAGATCCGTCTTAGGTTTACTGTCAGGGGATTCGGTTTTCCTTATGTAAAATGAATATCAGTTGTATAATACGATGATAGTAGGATGGCCCTGCAGCAAGAAACGAGCGACTGCTCTTTCCTCCTCCTCCCATCTTCTCACTCTCCCTCCATCTGTCTCCTACTCCTCTTGCTTTCATGTCTCCATCTGTCTCTTTTTTTGTGCCCTCTTTTGTCCACCAAAGTTTGAATGCAGACGATGCCAAAATATGTTAAAAAAGAGGAGGATGGAAAAAAGAGAGAGAGTGAAAAATCAAGAGAGGGTAGGAGAACAGAAAAGTAGGCGAGGGGTGAGTGAGAAAATTAGGACAGGAGGAAAAGAGAAATAAGAAGGAGCGCAGTAGGAAAGTGTCATTGATTTTGTCATTTTCCCCCTTTGTACCCTTTGACATTCTATCTCCTCTGGACAACTCTATTACAGCTGCACAATGCATTTTATCACTGTAATGTGAATTTACACACGGGCACCAAGTAATAAAACCAGAAACAGCAACATGTCCGACATACAGAACTTCTGTGACAATCTTAGCAGGCAGAGCAGAGATCTTTGCTTTTTGTTATTGTTGCACAGCTGAAACTAGTGTTATTCTTTACAAAGATCTCTCTCGATTCCAGATTAAAGGTTTATCCTGGTTTCTGTAAACGTTGTTGCATATGTGTGCATTAACAGTACATTTTGAAAACCCCATCATAACTTAAATATAATTATACATCTTTACTCAATGTCCACTTAGTTTTTTCCCTTTTATGCTAATTAAAAATGTTTTTAATCAAACCATTTCCAGTGTTTTCATGGTTAACATATTAAAACTGATTAACAGTATATTGGGAAAGTCTCTTACAGATGCCCAATACGAGTACGAGTTTAGCCTAAAATATGATATTGGCACTAGTACTGGTGCATTCAGCACAAGCAATGATACAGGACTGCAGAAACTCACCGATGTTTGCGTGCTTCAGGAGACGGCAGATACGAGCCTCTCTCTCAAGCTTCTGATGGTCTGAGGAGAAAAAAGTTGCAGTTTCGATAAGTTACAATCAGAGGCCAAAACAGCACCTGGTTAAACAACTGATTAGTTGCACAACTTTTAGTTAGTTAATTCAGGTGAAGTTGGTTTACAAGCTTTTCACTTCAGTGCTTAACAAGAAATGTCATAACCCCCACCATGTTCAGCAGCTTATCACTGTTGGAGGCAGACAAAATAACTGGAACAATATATGTAATCAAAAATGTTAACACTGCAATATTCTTGTTAATGTATTTTCTTCTTATTATTTTACTATTTTGCCTTTATTGTATTGTGATAGTAAACATACCAACAGCAAAGGTGGGAGAGAAGAGGGAGAGAGACATGCAACCAGAGGTCCCTGGCCGAAATTGAAATGAGGAAACTGCAGTTATAATGTTAGGGCCACAGACCATGAGGCACCACAAGCACCGGTTTAGAAAAATCTCAATGTGGTTTTGTTACTGAAGCCAGTAAACACATTAGTTCACTTGCTATAATGTTTTCAACACAACACCTAATATATGTCACAGCCAGTGCAGATCTAGCAGTAAGCATGGAATACGTCTTCAAAATTTCAGGGTTCTCTCCATCCCAGACAAGGTTGCAGCGGTATACTGGTTTTATCATACCATGCACATTTGAACACCTTCAAGAACGCCATCCCTTCGTGCAGATCAAAGCCTGTGCCCTGTTGATTACTTTTGCTAATCTCTGACTTACAAAAGGATAAACTGATCCCGATCTAACCACAGAAACACATATGCAAACTTTCCGGCTCACATAAGTAAGTGTGTGTGTGTGTGTGTGTGTGTGTGTGTGTGAGCGAGTGAAGGTACAGACAGGACCAGTTTGTCTGCACTGTTGTGTATCTACAATAAATTAGCAACTATTCTGATAATTGTTTAGACCATTGTGACGACATTTCTCACCACTGTCTTACACACCAGTCAAATGATTAACTGAGAAAATAATCAGCAGTTTAATCCCTAATGAAAATAATCAATAGTTGCATGTGAATACAAAACAGTTCAAAATAGCTCCAATCCAACCAAATACAACAGTAAAATCCTGCTTTTACATCAACCCACGAGTGATGGACCGTTAATGTAACAATATATAATAATAAAACAATATATACAGTTTAAACATTTCCTGCATTGAGTAGCCTGCTTCTTCTTTTAATACTTTAAGTACATTTACCTGATAAGTAATACTTAACACTGTCAATGCAGGCCTTTTACTTGTAACAGTTACATTTACAGTGTGACTGAGTACTTTTACTCAAGGATGTGAATACTTCCTCTACTTGGTGCCAACATGCAACATAACGTGCTTTAGTTATACAATATGTTACAGTTGCATGCTATTTTTAAAATCATGTGTTTAACTCTGTTTATTCTTTAGGGTCAATCTAGTGCTACAATCTAGTTCAATCTGCTGTCACAGCCACTTGCAGTTAATAAAAACATTCCTTTGAGGGTCGTTATAGCCGATAATAGTAACTGTGTAATACACTGTTGCAACTCTATTCCCAAATATACATTTCAGTGTCTGCAACTAACAATATGACTGAGGCAATTGCTTTGCCTCAATCTGACTCAGTCGAGTAGTTTCTTTTGTGATATTGATTTACAGAACATTCACAGCTAAGTATGTATTTAAATACTTGAACTGCAAGTACTGGGATGCAAATATTTGAGGAAGGATTTGTTTCTGTGCATATGAATGCAAATACATTAGCCCATAGCACAAATCTATTAGCAACAGGCCTACAGTCATTCAAGATGAACTAATGCATTTGCTTCTGAAGGGTAACAGTCACAAGCAGAACTCCACTGATCTCATTTTGTTTTAAGGTTATTAAACTATGTGTACATATTAATGAGGCTGCGTGTAGCAGATTATACATGGGTTTTGCACATGCATGCATGCACAGTATGTGCATGTGTGTGTAATGGGTTTCAAGTAAAGCCCAAGCCAGTTAGAGAACACTGCAATGTTTGCACTTCTGGCTGGGAGTGGATGCTAGCGATCACACATGCTTCTAGACCAAATCAACATCCTTGTTTGAGGATTTTACTGAATCCTGCAGCAGTGTGTGTGTGTGTGTGTGTGTGTGTTTGTGTGTGCATGTGTTTTTGTCAGATGTTGGCATGTAAAGCACATGACACTACTTCCATCACAGAGAGGGTGTAACCACAACTGTGCAACAGCTACGCAGCTGAGGTCAGAGGTCACCTGACTTAACTGCAGTGAAGATCCAGTATGACTCAGTGTGTGGATGTGTGTGCTATCAGTGTGTTGAATCCAACTCAGCCCTGAGTTCCATGGCAATTACGCCACACAGAATCTTGTTTCCCTAGTGCAGCAACAGCCTGCAATGAAATTCACATGCTAGTGCTGAGCAGTCTCCTCTCAACAAGGGTTCTTTCACAAGTGCAATACAGAATGTACAGGCATTATAAAAGAGCACATTACTATCTGCATCCTTCAACACCGTCTCCGACTATCATACCTACCCCTTTCTTTGCTGATTTTTTTTTTCTAACTTGTTGCTGTCTTGGATGAGGTTTAAAGCTGCAGTCAGGTGTTTCTAGCCACTTCTGTAATCTAACAGGGTGCTACACTCTCCACATTTGTCATCCACATCCCTCCCTCATCTGAGAGAAAGCGAGTGAATAAGGAAGAGACCTTTTAATTACTCTGACACAGGATTGAGCGACTGAGGGAAGGAGGGAGGGTTACATGAAATGTCCATTTGCTAGAATCACAGCTCCCCTGTGTGTTTGCTTGCATGTGTTTGTGTATAGCCGTTTACCCTGGTGCAGTGTCACTGCAGCACTCACTAATTCATTCAATCTTCTTATTTGCTGGTGCGAGAGTGTGTGTTAGAAGAAGACAAGGAAGAGAGGGCTTGAAGGTAATTAGTGACACTTCCTGCTGCTCTCTAATTGGCCATCTGCTTTGCCATGGGGCGGGCTCACAGCCATCTTACATGAGCTGAGGAGGACAGAGAGGGTCCGACGCTCGCTCACAAACACACCCCTATCTCTGCCACAGCTGACAATCTGGCTGAAAGCTTAAGGATCAAGTTCAATCTGTTGCAAGCAAGTTTACATCCAAACGGTTAGGACTGGTAAACACTGACAAACCCCATTTTATTTCTGATACCGAGTAGCTCAATACCAATAATGTGCCAATATTTGAGGGCGAGTAGGTGTTTTCAGAAAATATTTAATGAATATGGCACTATTCCCCCATGCGTGTTGCAACAAGCATGATGCACACTTATTAGCTCAAAGATGCTGATGAGATTTACTCTTCAGGGATCAAAATTTGGCACCGAATGACAAACCGTTTCTCAATAATTGATAGTATCTAAGGAATTCAGTCAGTACTATAAACATATCAGAACTCAGTACCCAGCCCTAGAAGCAGCAAATGCACTCAGGCTAGCCAGACTGAATCATCATTTTGTTTCAGCCTGACGTCGTGTTCATGTTAGCCAACGCCTGTCACACATTTTCAGCCAACACAAAAGCTGCAGTAGCGGTTGCTAGGAGAAGTTCACGTAACGTTTTAAGGATGATTAAAAATATATATTGATTCAAGCACTGTCACTGGACAATGGATAAGATGACATCACCATTCTTAATCCTGTTGACAAAGCTTTGATTAGACAATTGCTTCACCATCAATAAGCACAACACCACACCTACTGAAGTCATTGAACAAAGAATAACTGCTGTCAGTCATTTTCCATTAATAATTATAATAATGAGGGACTGGCTGCAGGAGATGGGCAAAGAAGTGGACTGAATTTGTGAAATTTCTAACCAATAAATATTAGTTTTTTTTTCCCTCAGGGACAATTATACCGCCTCAGAAGACTAACTACTGGACACTAGAAAATGTTGACTACAAGTATTAAGGTAGTGAATCAAAGTCTGCCGCACTCTCACCCACCACCACAGTGTTGCAGCAGATAATGCAGTGACCATCCACTTTGCACAGTCACTTCACCCATCAACAAAATAAAATAGAGTATTCATTCTGTGCATTAACTCGTATCACGGCAATCTGTGTACTTGTTATGGATGGCCTGAATTTGTACTGTGGGTCATTTAACAGTTGCACCGATTTTTGAGCAGACAATGTATTCCTTCACCCTCTAATCTCATTTTATTACACAGTTTGTGTGTAAAAATTAGAGCTTCATCTTGTTCTTGGGGTCATCACTTCCACTCTTTCTGATTTTCCAGGTCTGCACCACCCAAAAGAGCCCCCGCCCTATTCAAAAACAAAAACCACCGCTTGATTCTCTGGGAATCAGGTGAATGTTTGCGTACTGTGCAGCTCACTCGATCCACCCCCAACTATCCCACAGCCAACTTCCTACATTCATTGTTGACCTCTCTCCCTCATTTCCTTCCTTCCTTCCTTCCTTCTTTCTTTCCATTCCATCCTTCTCAGATTACCGCAGTGTTTACCAGAGCTTTGAGAGACTTACCCACCAGGCCACACGTGAGGTCATACTCCCCCCATCAGACTAAAAAAACCCCACCCAAATCCTACTGGGCAAGCTGCCTGCTCACGCTCTGGCTGCCTCTGTGTGGATGTTGTGTTTTGTGTGCGTGTTGCGTCAGCAGGATGGCCTACCGCAATGCTTCTCTTAGAGCAAAATCCTCTTGTTCCCTCTTTCGCTCACTATCATGTCTAGTTCTGTTGCATTTCACCTTGCTTCCCTGGTGTGAAGTGTCACTGATCTCATAAGACTATACTGTTAAAAATCTCCTCCTCGTCACTTTCTTCTCCCCTGGCAAACACATACATACTATGCACAGGCCTACACTGTGCTCCCTACCCCTGCAAAAAGCCAACAGTTTTCTGCTGACCCCTTGCTTTGCATTGGTGAGACATTAATACAGGGAGCTGACTTATGTGGACACCTGATGGCTAGGATAGAACAATACTGGCATTACAACACACTCACAAATGCCTCACAATACAGCCATGCTCTATTAGCATTACTCCCTGCTTTCTTTCACACTTGCACAAATGCCATCAGACACAGACAACAGGGCAAACAGGGAGGCGCCTACGGAATCCGTGGGGTCTGAGTGTTTGATGAGATACATTTAGCATAAATGGATTAGCCTCGATACAAACCAATCTCACTTCACAGAAAGACAAGAGAAAGCAATGAAGGAGAGAGGCTAGCAGAGGAAGCGAGACAGAGGCAATGAGAGAAAACAAATGAAAGAATAAAAGAAAGCCAGGTTTGTGTGAACATCAAGATGGAGTACAGGCCTAATTTGTCAGACACAAAAAGGAGAAAGCAAATAAGAATCTCAGCCTGGGAAGGTTCTCACACACTGATGTGAGCTCACATCATCACTGCAACATTGCATGCCACACCAGGCACGTGGGTGTGGATCTATGCAGAGTCTCCCCAGAGACGATAAAGTAGAGTAATTAAATTCAGGAGTGAACTGTGGAGCTATGTGATGACCACAAGGCAAAAACTGGAAAAAATTAAAATTGTGCCATCTCTTTTTGTTTTATTTCATCCCAGTCATGTGCCCTTTCCATGAAAAGCACCTTAGAAATTTGTCTGTTGACATCACAGAAAAGCCACTGACAGTAATTCAATACAGTGTTTATAAAGACGGTCATTAAACCATCAAAAGGTTGCTGATAACTTCCCACAGAGACAATGACTGAATAAAAGATTTCCTCTACTATTGAAAATATGGGACTTCTGTTTATGTGCATACTTTCCAATAAGACTGTATGATATGATAATACAGAATAAACAATGAGCACAAAGACGTGAACCAGTAGAGATTTTGCTATAGTTATGTCCTCAACATCTATAGTGAGCCATAGTAGGCAAGGCCACAAATAAATGAGCTGAACAGCTTTACAGTAATACTGAACTGACAGGAGTTTTGCATCAATAAGATGAAGTAGATTTGATTTTGTATGTAGCTCATTGGATTAGCCAAAGACAGACATTTCTACTTTGTTTATCTACGCATGGCTGCTCAGTACTCACTAGTGCAACACAAACACATATAGAGCTCTATTTTCTAATATACAGCATAAACAAAGCAGACATGCACATATCAGGGTCTATGAGAGTGTACATGGTGTTACCATACCTCTAGCAGACAGCTTCTTAGTGTTGATGATTTTTGCAGCATATTCCTGTCCTGATGACTTCTTTACACACCTACGCACCACTGAAAACGCTCCCCTAAGAAGAAAGAACCAAAAATCAGTTCCATTTCACATGCGCACTCTCAAACACAGACACACACACACGCACAGTGACATTTGAAACTACATCCACGCGTGTGGTGGTGGTTTGTTTGTGTAGGGTAACAACCTTGGTCTCTCTCATACACAGAATACACTCATTACTATCAAAGCATCAGTGTGTTCCACTTGAGAAGGTGAGCAACAATCCTAAACCAGCACTACAACAACAAGCTTCTCCATCGTGAATTCCGCTATCGGTTCACGATTATAAAGGAATGGTCATATTTTCCTCATCTCTAAAGGCACACAATAGCACCAGCACAAAGAATGGGCTGCATCTCACACAACAATGGTACACATTTAACATAGTCACAAGATAACAGTGTTCAGTAATAAATCTGCTCAAGCAGAAAAGGAAGTGTATGACACACTGTAAAACAATTCCTGCTCTGAGGGGGTTTCATACTGACCCCAGATGAATGCTCCATATTTTTCACCTGCTAGCTGCTATGGTGACTGTACAGTTTTGGGGGATCACAGAACAAGTAATTATGCATGATTTAATAGCACCTGTATAACAGCCCGTTCAACCTGCAGTATGTGGTTATCTACATTTATCCTAAAATAAGCTCCCTTTTCCTACTACTGGAGATATGGAGGGTTGCTACGTTTTGCTGCACTCTGCTCCTACCACTCAGATCTTAGTTTCAGTTATTTACCAGTAAATCAGAGGCGACAGGTAACAGAAGTACAACTCAGTGGCTTGACTTTAATAACCTATGATGGAACAAAATGCATTAACAAACGGGTTTCAAACAAGGTAGGAATCAGTAGCAGTAAGGTTCAGATCTATATGGAGGACGTGTATATATGTGGGAGTGCACTGGCTGTGCAATTAGTGTCATCGATTACTGTCAATTATAAAGGCAAAGAGTGGACATGTCAGCTCAAAATTAAGGTCGGTGTATCTTTTAAAAACCAATGTCGCCCCAGTTTGTGTACAACTGGGAAAAAATTGCTTTACTGGTCTTGTGTCGAAATGTGTCGTCGTCGCCCAAAAAATTCGGTTTCACATAGCGTCCCCCTCAGTGGTTGTGATAAGGATGATATTAGGGTTCAGGTTAGAAGAAACACATTTCGATGGGAAAACTGATTTCGACACAACACCAGCCAAGAACAACGGATGCTGCTGCTGCTGCTGCTGATGATGACAGGGATGAAACAGAGGAGCTAGTGCCCAGTTTTCATGTCGTCATCAAAATACCGAGAAGCACGTCACCCACTCTTACACAGCAACGCCAAACTACCCGCACAACCGCCTGCGCTTTACAGTTACCTCGGTTTAAAACGCAGAGCGAAAACGCTTCTACTGATGCTCTGATGACGGGACCAGCTGGTGTGCGGAACGTATGGCAAACACAATGCGAAGATAAAGCAGCGCGGCCCGGACTTCCTCATTAAGCGATCCAGTGGTATTTAAGGTTACTCAACACAGTTACACAAATCAACCACAGCTGCTCAGAAAAAAAGCAGCCGGCCTAGTTAACTAGCGACCACAACCCACTGGCTACCGAGCCCGCACGGAGCTGTCAAACCTGCGACTCGGTGAAATGTCACAGGGCAAAGACTCCGGCGTCTCTCGGGGCCCCGAGACCAGAAAATACCGGCTAAAATGCACGGGAGGATAACTGCTGTTAACACAACAACCCCTGTGCTGTGTGTTCATCACCATTAACGACTAAAAGACACAACGCTAATCTGCTAACTCGGGCTATTTTAATATATATATCAGCATGGTAGCTTGGTGGCTAGTAACCGAACGTCAGTTACTGGAGAAGGAACGCTAGTAAGCCAATAGCAGAGGATATTTAGCCTGACTGCACCACGACCATTTCAGACACTATTTAACATAGAACGCTACTCATAAATTACTGAAGCACTCAACATGATTAGCTAGTATGTAAGCAATTCTAGCTAGCGATTACCTGCTAGCTAGCTAACCAGAAATACTGTGAATCGAGGTTGCGGGGGTGGGGGACAAAACGACAACACGATGCGCTCTGTAACAGAACGACTGCTTCTTACTTCCCGAGCTCCTCGTACAGCTGGTAATCGTCGGTAAACCTGGTGGATGTAGCGGTGGTTGCCATAGTTTGAGCCGTGAGAGACAAGCCCGAGCCTTGGGGTACGACGGTGGCTGGGTCTCTTACGGAGTCCAAGAGGACAGTAGGCTAGCCTCCAACACTGGAGAACCTTTCTGACAGGCAAGCAGGGCTGAAGAGGAGAGAGCACAGACGGAAAGGGAGGGGCTGGGGACAAGACAGGAGGAGGAGGAGGAGTGATGATGATGACGAGGACGATTTCGTCTGTGTGTGTATGTAGTAAAGGGCAAGAAACATCGCGAGACTAGGCTGTGTAGCACGGGATCAAGGCCTCTAGTGTAATGAAGTTACTGAAAATGTGATGAAATGGTGTTAAGTTCTTTGCTTTGTTTAACCTTCTTTTGGAGGATCGTAGATCATATATAGACAGTGGTGGAAGAAGTACTCAGATTATATACTTATGTAAAAGTACACAGTGTAAAAATACAATGATTCAAGTATATTAAATGTCCTGCTTTCAAAATATTACTTATAAGTAAAAATTATTAGCATCAAAAGCTATACTTATAGTACAAAAAATAACTATAAAAATGGCACATTTCAAATGAATGTATATTATATTACTGGATCATACATTTTGATGCATCAGTGTGTATACCATGCTAATTGTAACTATATTATATGCCTTTAATTTGAATTACTGCTGGGTGGCTTGTGGATTTCTCACTGATGATCAAAAGTCTTACAATTACATTGTATCTTGTTTGAGTAATTTGATTCAGAGAAGTAACTAAAGTTACCAAATGAATATAGTTGGATATATAGTACAATATTTGCCTCTAAAATGTAGTGAAGTCGAAGTATGAAGTAGCAGAAAATGAAAATACTCGAAGTACAGATATGTCAAAAGTGTACTTAAATACAGAACTTGAGTAAATGACATAGCCTATTGTTGAAAGGTACACAATCCTGAGATGGTACATAGTCTGGGCTAAAAAACTGCTTTGACATCCAGTTCCTGCCTCTTCTAATATCGTAAAAATATTGCGGTGAACATCACAGCAGTATTTTACTGCACTTGTTGGTATACACCCAACCCTGGTTCACACCTCATTGCAGCAGAGAGACAAACTCTGACACACTTCAATTTATACACATTGCCTAAGCACATGCACATACAGACACACATTTCAGTAATCAATATTGATTAACACAGGTCTTGCATTTAACACAGCAGGCCTGTCTGAACCATTGATTTTGTATGTGCATAAGAGAGATAGGGATGAGCAGAGGGAATAGTGTGACTCCTGTATCAGGTTTCCACCACAGACAAGCATGCATCTATGTTTTTCCACAGTGTGAAGATGGTTAGCTTGGTGGAGCTAAAAGATGGTATCACAGATCCAGAGTACTTCACTAAATGTGTGTCATGAGGAGGCCATCAGAGGACAGGCGAGTGGAGCTGGAGGGAGCCATAGAGCTTGGGAGTTAGAGATGGCTCCATGTGTGTGGCTACCTGCTCAGCACTCTGGCTCAGAGGTGGGACAGCAAACAGCACACTGACACTGTTGTAAAGAAAAGGGAGCAAAATGGTGATTTCACTTGAAAATCATTATGCGTGGTTGTCAGCGTAGGAACACATAGCAGAAACACTGAAAAGTTCAAATATTTTGAGGCCATATCTGTAAGTGCAGCCTGTTGAATCTGTGACAGAGAGCAGGAAAAGGAGGCCAGCATATGTATGTGTGTGCATGTTTGTGTGCTATGTGGAAGACAAATGAGCACTGCAATGTAGGCTACTGGCCTTCTCCTGCCCTCCTTTTCCTACGTGCTAACCCTGCTGCCTCTCCTCCTCTTCCTCCACCTCCTCAGCCTCCACAGAAGTTATATAATGGTGAACTCCTCAGCCTTTGTTATCTCACACCAACCACACACTATGCCTTGCCTGCTTGATGAGAGACAGAGAAGCAGAGGAGGGAAGAGGAGTGAGAGCACGGGATGCAGAGAGAAGAAAAATTAAGATGCTTCAGCTGAAATCAGCAGTCAAAGAAAGAAAGTCTTTGCAATATTGTAGTATTCATATTGTAGTATTTTTATAGTCAGACTTATTGCAATCTTGAGCAACCTTATGGCCATTATAAATGGCCTTACATGTGTGTCTTACATTTTAGACTTTTTACCTCAGGTCACTGTGAAGTCATAGTCAGCTGGTGGTCCTGAATCATATGAGCAAGAACTGGAGTGACAGAGCCCTTAGAGAGTCTAGCCCTTACTGCTATTCAGACTGACACATTGGTGTGCTAGTTGGGAAAGCTGACAACTATATGGTCACAGTTTTTATAGCCATGTTTAGAATTTGACTAATGACTGAATAGAAACATCGTGCTTTGGGTGTTTCACTGCTTTAAGTATGCCTCACAAACCTGTTGCTGCAGGCAGGAGAGCATCATCAGCAGTGGAAATCTATCCAGTTTTATGTCACTCATGGGGCCAGTTGAAGCTTACACCCATGCAGAACTTATGTTTAATTTTCTATAATTTCATGCCCTTCTGGAGCTAAAGCCATCCTGTCATATGATCTGCAGAGCCAAAATATCACATTTTTGTATGTAGCAGCCTCCCATGGATAGCTGAAGCTCTGTTTGAATTCAAAATAGACTAATTGTGCAATCAGAGCTTCAGGAACTGCATACATTTAGGAATTACTTTTCCTTTGTTGTGACTAATGAGGGCGAATATGCCATCTGTTACATCATCACAACTGAGAGGGTGGACAGGGCCAAGAGCTGAGTCATGACAGCCCTGTTCTCCGCTGCTTTGGAGAGATAATCTGGCTGGAGGATGTGAATGAGTAACACTGTTTCTTCCTTCAGCAGATACTGTCGTGATGCCCCAGAGCAATAAGCTACTGACCCCCAACTGCTCAGCAAGTCAGTCGTAACGGGTCGTGTTTGGCAGCACCTGGGTGTCAGTGTGTGGAGCTGGATGGGTGAAAAGCAGAGGATTGCAGCTGACGTGCCAGTGTGCTCAGTCAGTTCAGTGAGGATAAATAAATAATATTACATTTTTGAACATCATAGCACAAAACAGAGGTGACGTACTCAGTTCCTATTCTTGATGATTATAGAGTTTAGTCTTTCAAAGTCTGGAGTCTCTTTTTAAACTTTTGTTTTTCACTCAAACCTATAGTTTAATCATAGAAAGCACAAGCACAAATGTGAAATTCTGGGCTATTTGACAGAAGATAAACAACGTCTCTAATAAATATACAGTATAACCAGCATTTTTAAGTGGTCCTGTCAAGCTCTGGCTGATCTTTGTTGCTTCTGGTTACTTTATTCAAACTACAGTACATTGCCTACCACTTCAAAAAAAGTGAAGTAATGCACTGACATAACAGTTTGACATAACACAACAGTTGTCTATATGTACCACACCCTGGAACAGTTGTTTACAAGTTTGCTTACAACAGCAACTGCCAGGAGTTAACATGAAACAACTTACAGTCCTTCGTGTCACTGGCAGCACTTGCTCAAAGGACACAAAGCGCAATTCATAATAGATAAATGTTTGTGGAAATATTGGATTCAGACAAAGAACAAACGTGAGCAGCAAATGATACTAAAGGATTAGAGTTTTATTTTATTTTGATTTAGCTTGAACAGCACTTGCTAACATAAGTTTAAATTACCTACTCTGTGTATAGTTCAGCTCCCAGTTCATAAACTATCATTAAGTGACAGTAGTGAATACGGTGGAAACAGCAGTAAAGTTTTGGCATTCTTGAACTGACTGAAACTTGTGACAACAAATTTGCTTCCAGTTAAACCTGGAGAAAACATATGTATAAATATATATACATATACTGTATGTTTAAAAAAACAGTGGTTCATTTGGACACTTTTCTGTGATTCATATTCAAGCTACAATGATTAATCAGCAAAAAACTGAAAAATAGCCTGTAAATTTTGAGTAGCTTTGTCTTCTGTAGGTAAACTCTATACTATATATAATTGGAAAATATAGTGAAGATATCACCTGGGACTATGGGATAGTGTGTGGGACATTTTCTGCATTTTTCTGACATATTACTGACAAAATCATTAGTGGAGAAAACAACTGACTGATTAATTGATACTACAAATTAATTGTTAGTTGCAGCCCTACTCTATATGACGGGAGGCAACAGTTTGTGATGTAATTATTTATTCTGAGAAGGAAGTAAGGACTGGAGCCTATTCCAGCTGACATTGGGTGAGAGGCAGGGTCATTTCATTCATTTCATTTAATTTATTAGGTTTACCCTGGACAGGTCACCAGTCTGTCACAGGGCTGACATGTAGACAAACAACCACACACAGTCAGATTCACTCCTACAGGCAATTTAAAGTCACCAGTCAACCTAAGCTGCATGTGGACTGTGGGAGGAATAGAACGGGTGCCACACAGGCACAGGGAAAGCATGCAAACTCCACACAAAGAGGGCTTGAGCCCAGAACCTTCTTGATGTGAGGTGACAGCGTTAACCACCACACCGCTGTGCCACAGCAATTTGTTTGTTTTTTTTAATTCACAATAATTTCAAATTTTCTTGCTTGTGTTTCCATGGATAGTGTGTCTGTGCTGAAGGGAAAG